CTCCCTTTCTGTCCCTCCCTCCCTCCCTCCCCCTCTGCGCCCAAGGACAGCTGGCCTCAGAGGTGACCCTCATCTTCGCCTTGTCATCTTGCCATTGTTCTACCCATGATTAACCAATCCAGAACTTCACCTTTTCTCTTTTTTAATGGTAGCAAAGTTTTATTAAAGGCAGGAAAAGAAATAGACTCTGCAGAGTGAGTTGGAGGAAAGTAAATGTAGGAAAAGAAATACACCCTACAGCCTGACAGTAGATCATCTGTGCAAGAAAGAACACAATGGCCTCCTACCAGTTTTTGAAAGACCAAATTTAAATACTACTTTTGTTTTACAGTAGCTAGTTTCTACAACATGCTTGCAGCATTCTAACAGTGCTGCCATCTTTTCAGCACAAAGGCCAGAGTTAGTTCCTCCTTCTATGTTCTTTGTCAATGCCTACATGTATGTATAATACAACACACTTCAAAGAATTTTTTTGAAATGTGTTTGCATCACATTTTTCTCTATTATGCTTTATACTGCATGACAGCAAAGTGCAAGGCCTGCTCCTTCTCACAGCCCCTTATCTACTTTGTATCACAAAATAAAACACAATCAACTAACCTTGGCTGAATAAACAAAGACAACAGATGACAATATGTACAGTGGTACAACATTAATTGTGAATTGAAACATAGCACAGAATCTTATTCTATATTCTTTACTTGGCACTACACAAGCTACTTTCCTTCTGAGGCCTGGTTCTCTTGTTTAAGTATGAATAATAGACAAAACAAAAAGATTCTTTCCCATAATAAATTAGTTGGGTTTATAGTGCAGGTGGATTCCTACAGATAAATGAGATAAAAGGTTTTCCAATAACAGAATCTTAAAACTGAAGAAAAATAGTCTAAAAAGAAATGAAGTGTGTAAGATTTAATAAATCTACAACTAAACTGGCCATAATATTCTGTACATTTTAATTAATAAATTGTCAAGTTGATCTGAAACAGTAAAATAGCTTCTTTTTTTCTGTATTTTAGGGAAGGGTCTAGAGGGTGTTCAGGGTCTCAGTACTAGATTGGACTCATAGTGATCCGCCTGTTTACAGCCTCCCAAGAGCTAAGATTACAGGCATTCACCACCATGCCCAGTCTCAATTGCCATTTCAGCACACCCCAGGGACAGTGACAGCACAGCAGGCCCTGGGATCGAACCCCAGCCCCCTGCGCCTGCTTGTAGGCACTTTAATCCACTAAACTATTTGGCTGGCCCCGTAAAATAGCTGATTATTCTAGAATACAGTAGAACATCTTTAATAAAATTAGAAAATTATTGTTTTATTTCTTTTGCTTATTTTCCACTTAATTCAAAATATAGTGCCAAAGAACCACAAAGCAAGGAAGTTACCTTGAGAAGATAAATTTTACCCATCTCATTTTGTACACAGCACCGAAAGAACTAAAAGGAGGCACTGTCCACCTTAGCCATGGGTGTGGAGCTGATATCCAGACACGTTTGCTCTTACCCCAAAGAACTAAAAAATATTAAGTATCTATGTGTACTGAAGATTAGTTCCAGGTGCCTTGACCTTTATATACTGCCAGAGAAATTCCCCAACTCAAGAAGGCAGAAGAATATGCCTCTGCAACTATTTGCTGCTTACTATTTCAATAGTTTAATCTTCCTTTATTCTCTCGTTCAAGGCTAATATTTAGCTAATTTTTAAACGCTAAATTGAGAAACATGGAAGGTTTTTAAGTATGTTGGTGTGCTATTATTCTCTTACAATGAAGTATGGCTTCATATGCCCAGTAATAAGACAAAACATGAATAAACCAGCAAGATGGCTTAGAGATTAAAAATATTATGACAATTTCAGGATTAGCCAGGATATTTACCTTACTTTCTGCTAGCCAGCGATGTGGGTCATAATGTATATCAGGACCAGAGGACAAAACCTACAACAAGAGAGAGGAAAAGATTTAGCCAGGTAGCCAATAATTTAGTCCCTGATCCTAAGGATGTAAAAGAACGAAGTTTGTACCAAGTATTAAAACAATTCCAAACCACTTGTCATGGCTATTTATATGTTGATTTATTTGCTTTTTATTGGCTATGGCACTGATTAAAGTCAACTTACTTCATTTTTCTTTGTTTCTTTTCCTGAGTCTTGTTCTACATAATATATTTCCCTAAGATATAAATGTGATTACATGGAAAGTTTTTTTTTTATTTATCCTCATTTAATTTAATACAATGAGGGCCATTTTGTCATATCAATGACTATTAAAACATAAAAATTCATCAATATGACTTCACACAAATATTAGCTTGTATTTCAAGATAATAACAAAATTCTGCAATAAATTGCAGTTTGTATTCATTGTCCTTACAATAAGTCCTTGTCAATTAGCTTTGCCTTTTTACTGATCTAAAATTATTCTTCAAAGTTGTCAATGACTTTCTAATTGCATATAAAGTTGTTTTCTCAGTCCTGCTTTTTTTTAACAATATACTACATACACTATCATTTTTCTAGATATTTTCTGTATAAAAATATTCAATGCATCTACAAGGTGGTATCTGTTCCTATTCTCACATAGTTCTATACCTCTTTATCTGCAAAAACATTAGAACCCTATCTGGACTACCTTTTGATAATTCAACAGAAATATCATAAATATATATTCAACATCTAGTACATGCCATATACAACAATGTATACATCCAATGCCATGCAAATCTTATCTTTCTTTTACCTACCTTTCTATCTAAATCTCACAGTACTCTTTTCTTTTTCAGTGAAATCCCCTCTACTCACCTTATTATTCAATGTTTCCTAGCTCTCCCAACTCTACTGAATTGTTGAGTATGTGTTAACATGCATTTGTCATTGATTATAAAATATTTTTGTTTCTCAATTTACCTATGACATATCTCAATTAAGTCTTTACCTCATGCTCATGACTGAAATTTTAAAAAAATTGGTTATAAAAAAAAAACAAATATTTCACAGAGAGAACATTGGCCAAGCAATGGCCGTGACTCATCCACATGGCTGACACTGACAAACAATCGGAGGTACAGGATCTCAGGATAAATCCTGAGGGGATTTCACTGACCTTATCAGACCCAAAAGCTACAACTCTTGTTGCATAGGTCCTGCTTTACCTTGGTCTTAACCATCCAGCAGAAAAGTATGAAGACGAAATATAAGAAATAAAGCCATGCTGTTATGTTGAGCTGTAGGGGACTCAGGTCAACACTTTCAGACATTGCCAGTCAAGCAGAAGACCCAATACTATTATGGATTACTGGACTCTTTTAGAATATTTTGCTGAGTTTACACACCTATAATATTCAAATAATGGAACTTAACAAAAAAAGGGGATACAGATGAATGTCCATTTTGTATCTGTGTATTCAAAGTGGTTAGGATAGATATATAGTTACATTCTCTTAATGAATAAAGTGATTTGTTCTAATGGTGTTTGTAAATAGGATATCATGTCCGCATCTTGTACAGCAATTAACCCCTAGGAAGAATGTATGCAATGTGTTAATTATTGAAACTGTCCTACCAATTTGATTTGAAACTGTCTCATTGCCATTTGTTTATCAATAAAATTATGGGAAAAAAATAAAATAAATAAATAGAAGGCAAAAAATAAAAAAAAAGAATACAAGTAGTATTCCTGGTATTTACTTCACAGATTTACATATAATTTCATGTTTAAGGAAACAAATGACCACTTTCAGTGGTGTGACAATTTTCTTACACTGCAGTTCATTATCTACAAAGTACACAATCAACCTCATAAGGCACAGTATAGATCAAATAAAATAAGCATCAGCACAGTTTCTGACATATTAAACACACTACTACTTCATATCAAGATATTATCCACAATAAACAAACTTCAAGTATAACAAGTACTTCTCAGTAGAAAATGATAGAAGAGTCAAATGTACACATGAACACATTAGAAAAAACTACCAAATAGTGACATTAGCTCACTATCCATCAAAAGCAAGACATTTCACATTATAATGTACCACTTCTATGTGTCACTTTAATTTATCCTTATAACAAGCTAACCTGTAGTGCAAGACCCGGGTCCTGTGAAAGGATGAAGATTGCACAGCTGTCCAAGGTCAGATGTTAGAAATCGGGAGAGATGCAGTTTAAACCTACATCTATCTTAGTCCACAAGCAATTCTTTTTATAATCTATAACAACATGAATATTCAGTTCAAGTATTACAGGAAGAGACAGATGCAAATGAAGACAGGATGCATGTTAATCCATCTAGCTAGCTGACCTATTGGTGTTATCTAAGACTGACATACAAAAATGAAATACCTTAATTCAGACAGTGTTCTAAAGGTTTGTATAATGGCAGCAATTTAATTGAATGTCTGTCTTTTAAGGTTTCTCTAAAATGTAATGAGTAGCATATATGTTAGCCAGTAAAACAAAACTTCAACTAGAAATAACATCAGTATTCTCCAGAATAGTTTTTGGTTTTTTGTTTGTTTGTTTGTTTGTTTGTTTGCTTTTTTTTCCGGAACCGGGGATTGAACTCAGGCCCTTGCGCTTGCCAAGGAAACGCTTATTCTACTGAGCCATCTCCCTGGCCCCCAGAATGTTTCTTAATGTTATTAAATGTATACATCACAGTCCCATATAAAAATGAATGAAAATTTCATCCGCAATATTTTAAAACTCAAGGAAAAAACAAAGAATTGGAAGTACTCCTGTTTTGAAAATATTTTCCACAGTTGTTCTACCACTCTCTCACACAACTAGAACATAAACAAACAAACTGCCTTTAACAAATCCATCAATGGTTTTCTTGTGCTAGTAACAAATGCTAAATTCTTGGGTACTCAATTTTTTTTCAAGTGTTTAAATACAACACAGAGCTGGTAGGATGAGACCTACAATGAAAATACACATTCTTCTACATCTACTTTCTACCCACGATTTGAATTGAGTAAGTCTTTCTCTAAGAGAAGAAATACAAAAAGTACCACCATCACACCAAGCCTGAAAACTTAGGAACATCTAGGATAATTTTGGGATTGCATTGAGAAGACAATTTGTGCCTTATAAAGACACATTTAATCAATCTGTCTATTGACCATGTTTTTGATTGCAACTGTGCACAGCAAAGTTTAAACATAAGATTATTCAGGGCCGGCCAAATACCTCGGTGGGTTAAAGTGTCTACTTAGGTAAAGTGCAATGTCTGGGGTCCAATCCCCAGCATGCTGTGCCAGCACCCCCCCCCTTCCACCCTCGGGACCTAAAGATAGCTCAGTGAACTAATGTGCCTGCTTAGGCAGGTGCAGGGCCTGGGACTGGGGTTCGACCCCGGGCATGCTGTGCCAGCCCTGCCCCCGGGGTGCACTGAGACAGCAATTGAGACTGGGCGTGGTGGCACAAACTTGTAATCCCAGTGCTTGGGAGGCTGAAAACAGGATTACTGAGTCCGATCTACATAATGAGACCCTATAGACCCTATACCAAATACATAAAAAATAAAAAATAAACATGATTCATATATTTCTATTTTTACATTCCTATATGCTTCAAAATTATCTGGACATAAATATTTAAATATTTAAAGAGTAAATACTGCATTAATATGTGCCTCTTTTAGTTGAAATTAAGATTTTTAAGGTCAGAGATACTTTAAATATGTGTAAATAAGACAAGTCTTAGATGTAAAGAGCAATAATTGATAGGGAAATGAATAGGCTAGCATTATAAGTGGTCTATATTAGCCCCGAGTCACTTTTCATCCTAAAAGCAATAACAGCTCATATGAGGTTCACACAAATGATATCTAAACATTTTTTTTAAAGATGTTATATAGAAATACAAATTATAGGGCCAGCCAGATAGCTCAGTGGACTAAAGCACCTGCTTAGGCAGAATGCAGCAGCCAGGGCTCAATCCCCAGTGTGCTGTGCCAGCCCTGCCCCCGGGGTGCGCTGAGACAGCGACTGAAACCCTACATACATTCCAAAAATAAAAATAAAAATACAAATTATAGAAATTCTATGAATGACACCAAATTCTGCCAATTGAAATATTTCTATTAGAGGTGAATTCTAAGAAACGATCAATTCCATGAATAGAATTATAGTTTCATTTTCTTTTAAATACCACTTAACAGAGAAGAGGGAAGAATATAAGGAAAAAGGGAGGGGGAAAAAAGGAATGCAGAAAGGAAGACTATTTTAGAGGAGCACAAAAGAATGAAAACAATAAAAAGAAACAACTGAAAAGTAGAAAGCAATTAAAATACCATCATTTAAGTGTTGTCACATCGCAAAATGAAAGAACTGCAATGATAAAGGACGCTGAGTCATTATCATGCATTATGGGTATACCAAACCACAGTAATAAGATGCTCTCTAAGCACAACATAGCAGTACCAGAACCTACAACTGGTAGAGGCACCTGCTTCCTTTCAAGCAACTCAAATCACCCATGGTCACTTCTGCTTTTATTTGTCTTTACACTATGACAATAAATTGAGCAACAATATTCCATTTTAAACACCAAAGTATATTAAATATAATGTGCTTCCATAGGGAAGGCAATCAGCAAAGTAGTTACCTGGTTAGGTTCCAGAGTTAGACTCGGAAGTTCCAAAACCACACTTATCATTTACCCAAATGTATAGCTAGGACAAGGTATTAACCTCCTCAGGTCTAGTTTTCCCTTCCCTGTGGTAGATCTAAGTAAATACTGTAGGGATATAGTAGGTTTAGAGGTTAAGGGAGACCATGTGTACACCATACTTACCACTGAACTCCTAATATAACCTTCAACGATGTAGGAAGTTTCATACTGACAAGAATAAGAACAGCCTATAATAATAAAATGTTCAAACTCTTGTGGTCTTTGAGGCTCCAAGAATATTTTCCTTAATCGGAACTGCTACCTCACTCATTAAACATTTTCTTTTATAGGAAGAGACACAGACAATTCGATGAAATAACACCACACTTTGTCTCACTGTGACAGTTTCATAGATACTGTGCTTCATTCTTAGAAAGTGCAAAAATAATTCTATTTCACAAAGCATTCTGAATAAAATTGTGACTGTGTAATCATATATTACAATTTCATTTCATAATTATATATTAGGAAAGTAACTGAAAAATATAAGGCACAATGAGAACTCATAATTACTTTCAACTTCTCTATTGAGTCCCTGGAGAAAGTTTTACAGGCTGCGTCAATTTCCTTCCCTATCACTCCAAGGATGGATTCTTGTTCAGTCTCCAGACAAAGAAGTTGATCCTTAAGCTGCAATCTCGCCTCTTCCATCCTCCTTAAGTGTTCTTCTTCATTGCTTATATGTTTTTCCTAAGACATTGATAACAAAAAAAATTAATTACTAACTGGAACCAAGAAGTACATATAATATCTATAAAACCACATAATTTCATCAGAAAGCATAACTGACATTGTCAAATATAAAACAAAACACTCTACCTATTTTTAACTGAGCTAAAGTTACAGAGCTCAGAATTTGGAGACCACTGAACAGATACTTGGCAAATAATATGACTGTAATCAAAACATCAAAGTTAAAAAAAATTATCATTTTAACAATATACTGCCACTAACAGATGAAAAACTTAAAGCTGATGCCACAAAGTAACTTTGAGTTTGTCCTCATCATTAGTAAAATACAACATATAATGCACCAAGAAGGATGCTACCAGCTTCATTTGAAAAAAAGACAAAAAGTGTCCCACTTTTATTTCATTAAAAACCCTAGCTTTCATAAGTGCTTTTGCGATACGAAAACCTAATGAAAAGTGTAGCTATCACCCAAGAAAGCAAATACATTTATTGAAAGGAGTCTTTTAAGGAGTCCTCTAAGAAACTATAGAGACTTGGAAGCCTATTACAGACAAAATCAATTCTCAATCACTATGATTACAGAATTTCATGATAAATTGACCATTCTTAATTTGAAGTAACAAAATCTAAAAGGCCCACAAAATCAAAACTTTTGTGAACACAAGCATGATACTAAACAGTTTCAAAATTTGTAGCATTTTGGATTAGTGATTTCTCAACTAGTACAGTCTATGCAAATGCTCCAAAAGCCAAAAAGAATTGAAATCTAAAATACTTTTATTCCCAAAAATTTCAGATAAGGCATAGTCCACCAGTTCTAAAGAAACTCAAGCCAGTACTACACAGGGTTTGTAATAACAGCATCATTAGACGTGTATAAATAAATAGTAAACCAAACTGATTACTGGCTATGCATGTCTTCAATCACTACATACAATTCTAATCATCTTTAACTACTCTGCTAAATGCAACGCGGCTGGGGAAATTATGTGAGTAACAACACAGACTGAATGTAAAAGATGTAACAAGATGTAATTAGTTTCACTGAAACTGATAGCAGAATAATGTTTACCAACTAAATTGAACTCGTATTAAAAATGAAGAAAGCTTCCTCTTCCCAAAAAGCAGGCACTTGCACAGTGTATCTTCTGCGTTTATCTCCAGCCTCATCTTCCTTCTTTCCAACTACCTTGCACTTGACGATCTACTTTCCCAAATACCTACACACGTGCATCTCCTGACCCAGCGGGCTTACATAATTGCACCTGACACTGCATTTCTTCAAATGGTGCTAGCAGCCCAGAGACAGCTTTTTTCTTGATGGGCTCACCTCACTCCATCATCCAGGCCTGGATCTCAGCTTTGCAAACTTACGAAGTGGAATTCTTTTAGTCTTGGTTCTCTGAGCAGAGTCATCTTGCAATAGTAAAATAACACTAAGCTCACAAGAGACTAATGCTGAATGTCATTCGATCAACATTACTTGACAATAAGAACCCGTGTCTGCCATGTGGATCGGAATGCTAAGGCCAGCATAACTAGTACATCAGCTCCCTGTAGACTAAACTAGAGGAGAAGGCAAATTATCATCAGACTGTTGATTAATGAACGAGAAATGAGAGCAAAAAGATTTCATTTTGTAATGTTTAGATGACATCAAGCTAATGGCACCTCAGCAGGTCCATCTACACATTAGATTTTTAACCACAGAAGCTGGAATACTCTATTCTTCTGGGCAGTGCTGGGATACAGAATGCTGATGAATATGTCCTTTAGCCTTTGTCAGTACTTGGTGTCTGTCCAAGTTTTCCTTCTGACAAATACATCACTTTTTTAGATTTATTACTAGTTTTACCAAGACACTATCAAACAGGAAGCTTTCTAAAAAATTAGCACCTTTGCTCTGAATAACACTTGGTAATTTTATGGCTTATTTACTAGAAATCAGCCTTACTGTCAAATCGCTAAGAAATGATACTCATCCTCCTACTAGTCCTACATACCTATCACTTATGCATCTTAACCTTCAAAATTCGTGCTTCAAACCTCACTCTCCTATCTTTTCAGCACTGCTAAAGAAAACTTCTCAGCACATTATTTGTATCATGGAATAAAATATTTCCAAGTGGTAATATAATTGTCCTCCTTTCTCACGCAATAAACTGCTAGGATGTTCATAACTATCTTTAAACTACTCCACCTTGCTGAATATAGTACATGCTTTAAACATTTTTCTGAAGACTCAAATTCACACTGTAAAGGCAACTTCAGTACTTGTCCTACATATCTACTGCTTCAGAGGCTACTAAAAGGTTCCACTTCTATTCACCCAAAAGGCCCCTAACATGATTGTAATGGTCTCACTAATATGATATTAATGAAGAGGTTACTAGTATATTAGAAGAGTGAATTCTAAACCCAAGCAAATCACAACGATGTTCTCAAGGACCTTCTATTTTTTATTCACTCACAGTGCATCTCATTTATCTATCACTACTTTTTCTGTGAGTTCTATTACTTCACTTTTTAAAAAGAAAAAATTGTTTCCATCTTTTAATATTCTTAATAACTTTAAAGTTTTATCTCTTTTGCAAAGGCAGAAAATGTGAGTAGCATATCATTCTCCTTTGAGAGTCAGCATACTATATACAAGATCCCTTTGAAGTAAAACTCACAGAACCCTGGCCCACAGGAGCCTTAGGGGTCAGGACCTGTCCCTTTCAGGAGTTCCTCCTGTAACATTTCAGGTAAACGGTCATATAACCCTGTGTGAGCATCTCAAGTTTCAAGGCCCAGAGTACCTGACCAAGCCACAAAATCTACTCACTACAGTACGTACTGTACTCAAAGTACATACATGAATCTCCATTCCCACCATACCTCTAACCTTAAAAAACTCGTTTCCCACTTCCCCCACCCCAATGGACTAGGTTTCTGACAGTACACCATCTTTATTCTCTACTTGTGCTCCAAGGCCTTCAGTAAGAGTTAAGGAAATCTCTCCTCCCTAAGTAAGTACTCCTAGGGTTCAGACGTGTTACCTTCCAAGGGTTCCTATGCTGGATGCCTGCTCTCCAATGTGGCAAGAGAAAAGGCCACTAGTGATATCTTTATGGGGCAGATCTTAGTTGGGGTCATTAGTGTTGCACTCAGGAGTTAATTGTGTTCTCTTGGAACTCGGGTTAGTTCCTACAAGAGCACTTACAAAAGACCAAGACTAGCCTGTTCCCACTTTATTTTTAGCTTTCTGCCTCACCATACAGTCTCTCTAACTTACACAGTCTCCTACCAAGATGCTGTCCTGAAGTGATTCTAGAGCCACTAACCAGAGGCCCAACAGCTTAATCTTGGACTTGCAGCTTCCAAATCTATAAGTTACATAAATATCTTGCTTTTTACATGTTATTCAGGCTCAAGTTTTGCTATAGTAACTAAAAACTAATACAAGCAAGAATACTCTAGACTCAATATTCTTCTATGTACTGAAGAGTACAGGCATTACCTTGTTTTTGTGGTACCTATCTGCCATACATAACAATCACATTCACCATAGGGGATTTGTACCTGTACATAAAAGGGGCATGACTATGCTCTCACAGAGTCAACGAAGCTACCGCTCTCTCCAAGAAATTTATCACTTTTGTTCTGCCACAATCTAGGTTAGAAACATCTGCAAAGAACAATAATTATAGTGCCCAATGATTTAGCTCTTTTTCCTAGTCTCATGTTTCAAAAAGGGGAAAGTCTGTACCAAATATACAGACTTTCCCCTGTCTGTACCAGAAAGCAAACCTAATTCTGGGGAATGAAAGGGGTGAGAAATTTGTTGAAGTGAACCAAATAATTTTACCAGATTTGAGGATGATCAAATTAATAAGAGGATATGATAATAATTAGACTTGATTGAGAGATTTACATTTTTTTTTTAAATTCAGGAAGAGTTTTATTCAGCAACCCTACAACAATTACCATATTTTTAGAGAACCAGAGGTAAGGCACAGATTTCTGGACAATGTTTCAAAATGCAGAAGAGACACTCTCCCCTCCATTGTTCAGGATGAAAAGACACAGCTCCCTGGGGCTAGGGAATATAAGGAGTGCTAGGGAGTGAAGGAAAGCTACATATGTAATCTAGGGGACTTAAGAAGATAGCATTCCTTGACAACGGCCAAGCTAGAGAAAGAACCTGAGAGAAATCCATACCTTGATTTTTCAACCAGGTAGCATGGCTGAAGTCAAAGAGCCTGCAGCGTAGGACCTGAGTACGCTGCATCCTTGAATACAGTTCTCCTAAAATACTAAAAAGACTGCGATCTTCAAATGGGATTTATAAGGACAATATGAAAAAAACTCAGAGAAGTTATCAGTAGATGAGAGCTAACAGTACTACAGCAGAAAAAATAACTTTAAAAATGCCAAATGAGCATTATTATACATAGCAATATGTAACATTTGATATAATCACAATAGCCTACCAAAAAAAGGCAAAAAAAAAAAAAAGCCCACCTAACACGCACAATATCCCAAACTACTAAGAGCTGTCTATCCAACTAGCTGTGTAAACATAATATTTAATCTTGGCCAGTTTTAGTTAAAATAGGTACTAAGAGCCCACTAAGCAAGGTATACTTCCATGATCAGAATGCCACACGTTTTATGAAGCTTCAATTTTATGACAGGAAAGGCTTATATTGTTGGCACTTACATGCAAAGGAAGTAAAAAATGCAAGTGTTTACAGTCTACTCATAACACACACAAAATATTGACTGCTTTGATCAATTGACCTATAATTCCGAGGTTAAGAAAAACTGCTCTAATTATACACTGATGCTTCAGCATGCTCTTTGTAACTCTCCTAGAGTCACTTTCCTAGAGGCTCCAAGACTACAAGGAGACATAAACTCAATGGAAGTATTACAAATTCTATAAAACCAGAGCATATCCAAAATAATATCTCTTTGATAAAAGCTTATGACAACCTTTCAGAGTCTTTTGA